TTTACATCCTGCAGTTACTAATTTCATTATGCAACAATTTATGATACCAACTGATCATAAGTAGAAACAACATAATTTTGTGCAGTAATGATGAGTGACAAAAGTTTCACAAACCTTTCCGCTTCCAGGGACTACATTATGTTAACACCTCTAGGGCAGTCACATCAAATATCATATCCTGGCTAACACAGTGCTAGCATAGAACACTTAAAGCAGACCACTGTATGGTATATTGTACTGAGCATCATTTGTTAGCTGAGACAATCTACCATTTTTTGTAACTTCAAAACTTATTATTCCAGTGTGTGTACCTTCCCAGGACCTATAGAAATTATTTTAACTTTGACTAACAGGTGACTGTCAGTAAGTTTGCATAAGCATGAATCACCATGTACATGTAGTATGTTTGCATGGAAAAGGAACAGAAGTCAACAAATGAAATTGAAACATGAATGAAATTCTCTGCAACAACCGCTCAAAATTTAAAAGATAGCATGAGGACCATTGAAAAAACAACAAAACACAAATGTCAACTCAACAGATATTATCTGCAAATGGCATTACGTCTACTTTTCTTCTAATCTATGTAACTAAAATATTTGCAACATAGAACATGATGGTGGGATATAATATAACTTATTGAGAGGCAAAAACCAATCACGTAATACTTCAAGATCTGAACAGCCATTTTTGCATACTCTATGCATGTAGGCAATTGGTCATCAATAACACATCTAAAGACATGAAACCAAGAGTTTCCAAATAAACACTTGTGAAAATACTTGAATTTGAATCAAACCTCAACTGGCGAAAGCAAGATCCTGCAACCTCTGATATAATATTGTTAGAAGAGAGTCCGATATCTGATGTGTGCACAAGTAAATCCTTTTAAGAATCATACCCTTATTGGATCAAGATTTGAGAGCAATGAAGTATACAATTTGTATAAAGAATGAATTGAAGCATGGTAACTTTGGTATCTAGCTTTTCAAACAACAATTAACCTACTTTATGCTGTAAATATTATTCCACCCACAATGAAAAATCTCATCAAATAAGCCTAGTTTAAAATGACCTGCAGATTACATGACCTATATTTGGGGATCTGAAGATAAGGAGATACAAGGCACACTGGAGCATCGATATGTTTATTCTATTTTTATTTTAAAACAAAACATAAATGTCACAGTCTGGGTCTTTGAAAACGAAATGTGCAACCTTAGATAACATAAAGAAAACAATTGAATACGTTTGATTGTATTGTAAAAATTAGTTAAAATTAGCTTGATTTATGCAAAACTTGCTCATCATGTGTGATGTTCATGTCAAGTGTGAATGAAATCGGTCCAGGCATCCCTGAGAGATGGTTGATGAAAAGTTCAAACATCTATTTTTATGTTCGTTTTTTGGAGGGGGAAGGGTAGACTTTAAAATGGCTACAAGTCACTCAAAAGTCAATGACAACAAATACATTATGTCTACTATTATGATTTGTCTTTAATTGTACCAACTTTGAACAAAATTGGTCCACGATGCAGAGAAAAGATGTCAGATGCACACACAGATGGGCGTCCTCAGTCCAAACTATGTCTGACAAGGATAACAATCCAGCAGCGATCTAAAAAATCAAGTGTGTTCAGCAGAACAGAAATATTTCCAGTAAAGAAAGTTGGGAACTATGATCTGCCACTTGTAGTCTATTTCCTTCTGAAACTACCTCTACAAATATCATGTGTAAACAATGCAAAATGTATGGTACTAACCTCTAGAAGCTTGGACAGTGGTTGATGTGGTTTAGCTACCAACTTGACCGCAATATCATCATTTTTTTCATTTGGTGATAATGCTTTCAAAATATCAGATTTTATGTCGATGTCAGAAGGTTCCTGCGTTGCAACAGGCAGATTCTCAGGCTCCTGAAAGTAAGTTGTACTCCTGTAAGTTATACTCTATGAATTATCACTACAGTTCCGTTTGTAAGTACCGGTATATATACTATTTATACGAGAGATTGAGCCAAAGCAAATTTGACATGTACTGATACTGAACAACTTACTTAAGCATGAAAATTCCCATTGACTACAATAGAAAAATATAACCACATTGGAAACTCCAATATTTTTAAATAATGTAAATATTCTTATGAGGTTATTGAGAGAATATTGCTAATTACGAACAAAGGCAGTACAGCGATTATATCAACCAATGTTTAAACAGAGGCTGATGTGTTACCGCATTGACAGAGTACATATTTATTTTTGTGATAACCTTATCATTATACATAATATTATATACATATAAAATATAATAATCCAAAATGCTTGTAAAAAGCTTTTTACGCAATTCCTGCCCGTGCGATTTTTATGCCTTAGGTGACATGATTCTAAAATGTCCAAAGTTTATCGCCATCTCCATATATGGGTGGCATGTATGAATTGATTCATGAATTCACATATTTGATTGGATAACTGCGTGACCCTGTGTCATAATTTCTTTTGTACAGTCCAAGTTTTTGGATGCTGCCATGGCAACGGTAGGCGAAATTTGTTTTTAGATTTCCCCCTAACTAGAGTGAATATGCATGACCTTCCTGCCAAGTTTTAGCAAAAATCAAAAACACACAGACGAAAGTGAACTTGTATTACATTATATTTTTTTGGAGATACAGGAGTTTTTTTTCAATGTCCATCTTGGCTAACTCTTGGATGTCACAGCTTTATTTTTTGGCAGATTTGTGTTTGCCATGTGCATGAAATTTGTGCTGAACCTGCTGATGCTGGATCATATTGTGGCTAATGTTACATTATCTGTAAAAATAGATTTAATGTGGACATGGGAAAAAAGTATGCTATTAATTCGCAAATTAATTGATTTATTTACAGATATCTGTAAATATTTTCTTTGACCTTAAAGAAAGTATGAAAATAATAAAAGTTTATTTTCAATTCAGCCTGAACTCACTAATCACATTGTAGAATAAGGAAAGATCTTTTGCTAGAGTGAAATCTTGTGTAGATTTCCAAGATAATAGTAGAATAAAACACTGGATAAAATAAACGTACGTTTTTCACTGATACTGTCACGGTCTGTTCATCTTCTTTGCAGTGCCCATTATCTTTGGATGGAATATTCCAATTCAAAGGTTTCAGATCTCCTTTGACGACTTCCTGTTTTGTGTCCAGACTCTCAAAGGATTTTGCGCGAGGTATTTCGCCTAAAGAAGGTGTAAGTCTAGTTGGTGATGGAGTTTTACTTCGTGCTGTTGAAATACAAAATTAAATGAAGATTTTGAAGAGAATATTAACTCAATGTATCAATGATGTATCCACATGTAAGGCCAAATAATTTTGTGGTATGGCATGGGGTATCTGCATTCTAAGTAATTATTCTTAAATGTGAATAACAAATATGGAACGATTATACAAACAAGTTTAAAAACTTTATACACCAAGCAATCAGGTCGGTAATATGTATAATACTATTACCATATTAACCGCAATGTATGAGAGGTAGCAGTTGCATTGATCTCTGAAGTTGTGTGTGATACTCACTGTACAGTCTACATGTACTTTGTTGTATCCTGTAACAACTTCATAGTATATGTACACAAACTGTGAACTAGTTTATAAAATTTCATAAATTTTCCTTGATGTGGTGAGCAAATGGGAACCAGTGATTTTCATGAATTTTACATACACTCAGTTAATAGCCTTAAACGTGGTTTTCAAAATGTGACTTGTGACTTAAGTTTTAACAATAACGCAAAACAACATCTTACCTACAGTTTCAGAAGTAATGAGTGGAATATTTCTCTCACTTCTTCCTCTTCTATTTTGGAACTTCTGGGATACTTTCCTGGCCTCTTGCAGTAACTGTTCATTGAATTTCTTATCAGCTTCTGTCAACTCAATCTCATCTAGTTCACCGTTAACCAGATCAATTACTTGGCCATCAGAACCAACTGTTGTTAGTGATGGTGTGTCTTGTGTTTTTATTTTTGGGGTGGATGTTAGACGTTTATGTTCGTTTTCATCAACATTATCTTGCGTTAGCCTACATAATAATTTTAAATATAGATATTTTTACTCATAAACAGAGATATTCTCTGAAGAAAAAAACAGTATACAAAATTGTGTTTAAAGACACATGCTTAATGGTTCAGGCAAACCAAAAGTGTACTGCTAAATAATATTTTGGAATGAAAAATAATCTGCCTGTTGTTGTATATCTTTAAAAACAGATTTATTGCTTAAATACAACTTTCATGAAGCTGTATCTGGCAACCTGTTGAAACTTGTCAAAATATCTAAAATCAGTACAAAAAACACTGCCTTTGGTAGTCCAGATGTACTCTCGCTTATTTCCACTGCCTAATATTTAAATCCTCACCTCATCAACAATTATGAAAATACATCCTTGATTAGCAGGAGGGCGTGTGTAAAACACCCGTTTAACATACCGTAAGTTTGACAAATTGTTTTTATGTGTTTCAGAAAAAATCAAGAACAGTATATAAAATTAGATTTACCTTTGATTGTTGTCCTTTGTTTTATTCTCATTCTTAGAGAAGTCCACAGATTTATCATCCATTTCTTTGTTCTTAGCAGCTCTACGTTTGTCTAACAGCTCCTGTAAATAAAGAAGAGTTGATTGTACAATATGATTGGATATAGAAACACAATTCTAATATGTCAAATTGTAGCACAACCACCTGAATACATGTAGTAACTTGGTGAATGCATAACTTGTTTTACGAGAAGAGATGTGAATATTTGAAGCCAGGAATATATGCCAGCATTCTTTATTTTCAGTTGGCATGGTGACTGGCAAGTAGAAGTACATGTAGAGATCAAGTGTACCATCATCATACACATAGAACAGATTTCCCAAAGAGCTAAAGATAGAAATACACCAAGTAGCAAGAAAATCCACAACACCTTCATAATGTGCCTGTACTTATATTGAACAGACACGAGAATGTTTCCCTGTATAAATGGCTGTATTTGTCCAAGCTGCCAGGTGACGAGTTATATACCTCACAATGTTACAAGTAAACAAACCAATTCTTTATTCATTTGAAATATGATGTTGCCATTTGGCGAGATTGTGAATCAAATGTCACTTATGAACTAACAATTGTATTTGCACATTATTTACCGGAAGGTACTAGAGGATACAGGGACAGGCAAACGCTGCAACCACCAAATGGAATAGAATGATGTAGTATGCAACATCTCAGGGTGCATGCAACCAGCCCACAACCACCATATGACACTTTTTCCAGTAGTTTATGTCCTGTTTTTGAAAACATTTTGACTAATTTTAGTATTACTATTCATATTCAGTGACATTGTTTTGTTTGTAAATTGGCATCAAGTCTCAAAAAAGAATGTCCTGTTGACTTCCACCAGTCATTTTGTAACAACTTTTTGAAAACAAATCTAAAATTTGTTCAAAACCGACTTGGTAGTTCATGTTCATCTACCCATAATGTGTTACATAGGTAGAATCTTGTTTTAAAATCAATCAAAAAATATGATTACTAATTTTTGGGGGATTTTGTATGTTTGAGATTTAATTTGCATTTGAATATTTGAACATTCAAAATCACACTTGAATCTAAAGAGAGCGTACATCATAGAAAAGATGCAATTTCCTGTCCCTGTATTCTCTAGAATCTTAAGATTATTTTTGACAATTGCATCAATTTACGTTTATATAATTGAAAAAAATATCTTAAAAGTGTATTGATTTTACAAAATAACCTATAAATAGAAATACGCGGAGATCGATCATTTTTCCTATATTTAGAAGTTTGGGCTTGAACTTTAGAGCTGAGAGAGCACCCTGTTTCAAGGCCAACTTTTATACAATTGCATTAACAACAACTAGTTGACCATCTTTTGGAAATTATCTTTTAATTATTTTAAGGAGTTCAAGCCCTGGTAATAAGAAAATGAGTGAGAAGGACAATGATGTGGGCATGTGTCATAGAGGGTTAGTATCACAAAAATGTTTAGAAATAGCTGCAGAAAATCAACTTACGTACTATTTGTATATAGGTGAAGGTTTATGGAGCAGTCAGGCAAATATTGATACAAGAGGGGCTACATGCACAAGTATGGAAAATATCATACAACAGACATGTACTAGCATGTTATAATGTTGTAAGCAAGGAAATTTAGTTAAATTAACTGAATAATAATGACATGACATTGGCAATTGGGTAGCAACACCTGAACTACTTTGATACATGCCCACATGCAACTCCAGTATCTCCTTAATAACAAGTCACTATTGGTATATATGCTTTCTACCTTTCATTGGAAGAATGTTAGTAGACAACACAACACATGCAACTCCAGTATCTCCTTAATAACAAGTCACTATTGGTATATATGCTTTCTACCTTTCATTGGAAGAATGTTAGTAGACAACACAACACATGCAACTCCAGTATCTCCTTAATAACAAGTCACTATTGGTATATATGCTTTCTACCTTCATTGGAAGAATGTTAGTAGACAACACAACACATGCAACTCCAGTATCTCCTTAATAACAAGTCACTATTGGTATATATGCTTTCTACCTTTCACTAGAAGAATGTTAGTAGACAACACAACACATGCAACTCCAGTATCTCCTTAATAACAAGTCACTATTGGTATATATGCTTTCTACCTTTCATTGGAAGAATGTTAGTAGACAACACAACACATGCAACTCCAGTATCTCCTTAATAACAAGTCACTATTGGTATATATGCTTTCTACCTTTCATTGGAAGAATGTTAGTAGACAACACAACACATCCAAGGTTCCAATGTAGAGCTATATTTCAGCTAGTTTCAAAATTTAAATATGTTAGGAATGTTCAATCCTTTTGTACAGTTGCAAGTACCCGTGGTGACTTTTGGGTTTCACCTGACCAAAGGTCTTCTCTCACACCCTTGCCGGTTTTAAAAAGCCTTGTTTTCAGTATATTTTCCAAAATATTGGCCAATTTTAATATGAACTTTCAAATAATTTATTATATATATTTTATTATATATATATATATATATATTTTGTATCATACATTTTACTGTACAATAATTATAATCATGGATCTTTGTAAAACAGCTTTTCGCTGCTAGGATTGCTCATCAACTTGAACTGTAAATAGTGTGAGACTTGAGCGAGAAAATGACAGTGAGAATTGTTATATATATTCAGTTTGGTAATCAAGATTTAAAATTCTCAACGTTTCATTGACAAGAATACAAAATCTCAACAACTTTTACTGGCAAGACTTTAAATTCTTTTTTCACAAAAAGATTGGGTGAGAATTGGAAAAAACATACCCAAACATGGACCGTTGAAAATAGTCACATACTGTAATTTACAAGACCAAAAACATAAAACAAATGACTGACAAAAATAGACATAACTATCCACCAAAACAACTGACAGGTACAGTAAAGGAGATATATGGACTCCAAGGTATATAAGAAGTGATAACAGGTGTTGAGAATTTATTTTTTTGCCAATAAGGTGATAATAAAGTATCAAGCACTATTATTTTTTTTTAATCTACATTAAATTACATTTATTACTGAGTAATAATTTGGCAGATTTTCTAACATCAAAACATGATAATTTTCCTTGAAAAAGCAACATATGAATGGCTAAAATTGTATAAACAAGACATGAATGCTAGACACAGGATATGAGGTTATCGAGGACACCACAAAGAATGCATGACAGGACAGTGCAACCAAAGTACTGATGAATACATAGTGGCAGTGAATTTATTGCAGAGGTCAAACAATGCTCTGTCCAGGCCAGTGGTTTATTAGAAAAACCCAAAAATGATGAAATAAACTTGGAAAGAATAACTTTTTTATTGACTTATTTTCAATCATACAATTTTATACCCGGAATAAGTAATAGTAATATGTACTGTACAATTGACAATATTCGCACTATAGTGGGCTTACTCTAAATACAATATATCGTATTTGCTCTGTTAGTAGCAAGTGTGTTTCTATGGTAAAAAAAATTTATAAGTAATATTTAAATTCTTCAGTATACAACAAATGTGATTTTTAATTCATATGCACTTCTATTGAAGATGCGCTTCTAATAGAGCAAATATAAGTTCCAATAAAGTTGGTTATTAGAATAGTGATAGTGAGAACTCAAACACATAACAAATTTAAATTAAAAACCAAAATTAAAATTATGAATGAATGAAAATATAAAAAAGTAGTATTATAAACATTACAAATAAAATATGTAAAACAAACTGAATCAGATATAAAACGATGAAAAATAATAAATATAAAATACTTCCCTTGAACATCGAACATCAACTGAGTAGATGGCCATACCATGTTGTTGTTTACAAACAAGCAACTACCCATGAGCCTTTGCGATTTAATCGTACATTGTTATTGTCGCTTAAACAATTCCCCACATGTGCACAACTGAAACCCCTTCGCTTTAAAGCAGCAACATACACTGAACCATTTTCCCTAAAATACTTTTTAATCTGTTCGTTTTCTTTGAATTGTTGCTGGTTTTTCACATAAATCATATTCATACAAAAAAGGCATGCACAATATGCTAAAAAAATAGATAGACGTTAGAAGCAGTCACTTGTCAGGAGCATCCAGAGAACTAAACTACACCACACCCATGAATTCCTGCAACACTATAAACAGCTGTCTGCAATGAACTAGGACTAAAAGCATTTCCATGTTGCATCACTAGAATGAGTACAAGATGGAGCAATTGACCATACCTGTTGCCATTGTGGTAACTTTGGTTTTGGTTTGGTTTTACTACCATTGGTCAATGTAGTTGGATTGTCTTTATTTATTGATGATACTCTGGTAGATGATAATGGTGGATGTCTGATTGACATGCTGGATAATTCGCAAGTTCTGAAAATAATAGAATATTACAATAAGTTATCGCATCACATGAAAACATATTTTCTAGATGGTTTACCCAGTTGTACATCTATCACAGGATTTATGCTTTCAAAATCAGTGTTGTTATTTTTTTTTTCAATACTAGCTATTTTAATGCAGACATTTACAAAATTTGATTTGTTCATGGCTTCAGGACATTCAAAATTGCACTGTTCTTTCAGTTTTTCAATTTCAGAAACATGCTAGAATTTCTATATTACATACTTATTAGTTTCATTTTTCTAAGTAATAATGAAATAAAGATGTTCACATACAATTGTATTCCTGTGTGATTTGTCAGAATTGCTTGAACTAAATTTGAGGTTGTGCATAACTTTTTTTTAGAAAGTGATAGTTCTGGATATTGAATGACAATAATAATTTTCTGCACAAGTTGTAAACAATTTAAATCATTCGCATTATGCCAAAAAATCTATATTCCATGTTTGAAATGACATAACATGGGCGCATGACCATCTTCCTATCATTAATGGTAGTGCAAAAAATGGTTATACCCTTGCATCAACCAGGTCAAACCAAGTAGCTAGTAGGAAGTTCATAAACTCAACAAGAATACAGGTTGATCTCCTTTTGGTGTTCAACCTACCAAACATGGGATTTGGCCACACAGTGATCTGTACCTGTTGTAAATCATCTGCAGTCTGTGATTCAAACCCAGCAATACTGAGAGATTTACAAATCTATGATAAAACCACTCCACAAGATCAAGCTGTCTGCTGTGTGACATATTGACTTTTGTATTATGCTATTATGTTTAAAAGCAAATAACCATTGGCTCCCAAAGCCTTAATGTCTATACATTTAACTCTGGACAATTTGTTTTGGTATTTAAAAATCCCCTGCTGTCAATATTTACAAATTTATTTGAAATTACTTGATCACCAGGTCAAAAAGAAGAATGCATGGACTGCCAATCGTAGGTTAGTTTTCCAGATTTCATATCACCTGATGATTTTTTTTAGTTCTCTGGTTGCTATGTTACTGTTTTAGGTAAAATAAATAGTTAATTGATTATCTAAGTATTGTATACAATAAGAATTAAATTAAACTTACTGTTGATCATCAGATGAATAGCCTTCAATTGGTATAGATGATGTCACAAGTGATGGATACTCCTCTGTAGACAGACTGCTAGATGCTTCCACACCAGCAATTGAATTATCAGTCCGTGGGAGAGTATGATAAGAAGAATTATCACTGTCATCAAAGACACTAGGAACCTGAATTTTTGGAGACTCTGGATGAGTGTCAATGCTGGTTTGAAAATCTGAAAAGTATGATGTGTCTTGTTCACTTGATACAAGGTCACTAATCTGTGATACACTCAATGAATCAGATGTTTCAGTTTGTGTTGATGCTGTTGATACATTGAGTGAGTCTCTTTCACCTAGATTAGGACAGGATTTGTTCAATCTGTCACTAGTCACAGTTAGAAATAGCCTGTTAGATTTGGAAGGTGGAGGAGGTACCAATGCATTTGTTGATGAGAGAGATGAGGCTAGATCCAATAAATTATTTCTTGGCGTATCCCTCGGTTTAGATATGTCATCCAAAGTGAGTGCATCTGAAAGAAGAAAAAAATGGAAATGAAACTATTTTTATTTGCAGCATATTGTACTGGACACATATTGGAATTTTTAAAGCTGCAATCTCAAATAACCAAAGTAAATCAGAACAAGCTTCAAGTTGTGTGACTTGACAGATATTGACAGTGAATACAGGCATATATCATGGAATACAAGTCGCTATTCACAATTCAAATTCTCAATTGCACATCCTTGGTGAAACACTGCATGATATGAAGAGGTTAAATAATCAGATATGGTGAAATACAGATAACCATATACTGTTGTTGTTTCTGTTATAAGCTAAACTACCAGAGAGTGGAAATGTTAAAAATATTCTGACACATTAAAAACCCCAGAAATTTATAGACAGATACCCCATAAATTCATTTGCACGTAAATACAGAGAAACATGTTATGTACAGGTCCTCAAACATTAGACACATTCATAAATGCAGATGCTGTAGAAGGCGCAGGGATATTCACGAGACAAGTTTGTTACAACACAATACAATATACTTGCTGGTTTAATTTAGCCCATTTAGCTGTCAGTGAAATAATTAAGTGAAAATAAAACCCAGAGGATAATTCAGTCCTATACAGTATGTAGCTTACCTAGTAATGAAGTAGAATATTTTGCATAGTTGATGGAAGATGGGATATGATATTCTGATTTCAGTTCATTCTTTATTTTCTCTAGTGAAGACACTTCTATACTTTTTAAAATGCCATCATCAGCATTCTGTAAGATTGATGAGACAATTTAAAAGTTAATATGCTGCAAGCCGAAATGAAAAGTGAAGCTTGCAAATAGAAATACATTGCATATCAGGCACAGAAACAAAATGAAAAGAAAAGAATTTAGCATTCGGCAAAAAGCAGTATTTGCATTCAGACAAACCTGACTTGAAATTTGTGGCACATCCAAATTATTTCATTTGTTTACATATTACATTAGGTGGAGCAATAAGTTTGTGATGGTAATAGAATCACATGACTGAACACATACAGTAACGCAAATAGTCAGGCAGTACAGGATTATACACTTGTTGACAAATTTTCAGAATAGTTAAGTTTCCAATACGTAAAAGTTTCTGAAAAAAATAGATTGCCTACACACAATGTACACATACAATTCTCATATGCAGTGAAGTATTACTACCCCTGGTATTTCCTGTACATGTACTTTGTGCCCCAAGGCAATCAAGTCATTCTGCCTAATGATGGTTTCAATTACAATGGAAAGGTAAGCACACAAATCCACCTGACACTCTAGGCTGTGTTTAATGAAATACACTTAAGTGCAGACTCACAAAAAATACCTTTTCTAGTAATTGTAAACGCTGCCAGTATTTTCTACTAAGACTTTTCTACTGTGTTAATGTAACAGGAATATGCATTAAAATGATATAGGATTTGTATTTTGCCTATATGTAGACTTATGTAAGATTTTAGTTATAAAAAGTGTTTTTAACTTTTTAAATGTAAATGTGCAGATTCATTGAATTCTGATTTTACTATTTTAATCGTATCAATATTAGCTTATTTTTAATTATGTGGAAGATAATAACAAACACAATAAACATCAAATAAAGTGAATTACATTTAGTGTTTTCCCAACAGATGGAACTGCACTTAAAAAGATTAAAGGTGTGGAATTTCTGGATAAATCCAAACATAATTTTCAATGTGTTTATATATTTGAGACAAATAGCAAAGGTGTTGAAATAGAATATTCAGGTGTATTTATTATGAAGTTCAAATAATCAAAAGTGGACTAGGAAAGCTTCAAATAAAAGAAACACTGATTAATTCTTTCAACTCATTTACAGATTTGTATCCTGTGATCACTTTACCATACCAGACAAATTGTAATAACTTTTCAATGGGCTTACAAGAGACTGCCTTCAGTTTGCCCTGTGAGAGATATATGGGAGTAGGCATTTTATGCAGGATATTACATAGACAGAATGGCATAGAAAGAAATTTCTGTACAACTTACCAGAGATGTAAGAAGACTCCTAGACTTAGCTAGCTGTGAATTAAGGTCATTCAATTCTCTGCCAATGGCTTCTCTTACTTTATCACCGGAAACTATTGATGGATGAGTGTTTTTCTACAATACAAAATACAAAGATGTGAAAATTAATATGGATCATAAAATGAAATTGTAAAGTAGGAGGAGGTGAAACAATTTAGACCATGGTCAAATACCAGTGCTGGCACTGTGGGTGGTTTTCTTCATGTAATATTGACTCTCTGGTACCAGGCAGTGTGCAAACTAGAGTTCAACTGTTTATATTAGTGCTGTGTTGATAAACTTAACACTGAAGCTGCAAAACAGCAGATGTACAAGTATGAATATACTGGCAACAATACCCCCCCCCCCCCACACACACACACACATAGTAAATTTGGGAAGCTTTTCTTTCAATTCCCAAAGGTTTTGTTAATGTAATAATGTAGAATACTTTATTTTCGCTTGGAATTTATCTTCGTTATTATCGCGGAAGAGATGATATCGTGAAAATAAAATCAAGCGAATATACTTTTTTTCCAATATTTCACACTCAACTCATCAAAAATGAGTGAAAATAAATTCCATACAGAACGCCCAAAAAGCCTTTTCAGCAAAAATTAATTCCAGCGAAAATAAAGTATTCCACAGTATATGACAATAAAGATGTTATATATATATAATGTCTTTAGTATTCTTCCAAACGTAGTTCAAGTACTCATTTTGCATTTTCTGTTCTTTAAAAATTAAAAAGGTAAAAACGACATACAAACTCAATGACGTGCCAGGCACAGTAGCAAGAAAGAATAATTTGTTTAATTGATCATTCCATAGCTGCAATTTTGTTTCTAAAATATAATAAAATGTACCCTAAGTACAGATATTATGAACATAAAACATGCACACATACGTACGTACAGAACTCACAACCACTAGCTGCAAAGCACATTGCTACTGTAAGCAGACAGGCAAGTTGAATAGAATAGAATAAAATTTCAAAGTATGGTGATGGCTTCAAGTAAACTATCTAAATAATTCTTTTCTTAAGTTTCAACCAATTACCAGATGTTTAAAACCTTTATACAAAAACTCACATGGATAAAACATGTGGGCAACAACAGTTATTACCAGCTGTGTAAGATAATTGGAAGACAGAACTGATCAACTTTACCATTTTATTTATTGATTAAATTGCTGTTATTTGTTATCACTTTGATGAAATTTGTAGAAAACAAATAAATTACATTTTACAACACTCAATGTTTACATTTATACCAGTAACCATGATACTGTGCTTATTAAATCATGTGTGGTGAGTTCTGATTTTAAACAAAAATGTGAAGACTTATGGTAGATGCCTGACAATGTATAATGAGAACCAGTATTAGGGGGTTAATGTAGTCTCATCAAGTTAGTGAATACAGCTATGAAAATTCGTACATCCTTTTAGACAGCTTTTTTCAGTTTTACCCACAAAAACAGTGTTTACACAAGTGTACAGGTCACAGCACTATACATCTGTTTACATCTTTCTATAATTTTAGCAAACAGCATGTATGCCTGACAACAAATGTCCTGCAGTGATGACACTAGCTGATAACCCATTGTGATATAATGAGATCATCGAAGAACTTTATAACTTCTCTTTCTTCTCTCACAAAACTGAACTGATATCACATTAAATTTTGTTATCCCACAAATAAGACACAAACACACATGTACCTGCAATCAGTCTTTTAATCTGCAACTTGTCTGCTTGTCATTTTTGACAAACACTCCACATTTAAGACAGGTACAACATTTCATTTGACAAGCAAAATCTTCACAATCCTGTCTAATTTTCATTGAAAATTAACAGATAAATTACAAACTACCTATAAATAATCAACAACAAAATAGACTACAATCTTTGGCTACAGACTGAGCACTGTTTTTTATTTCAATCAAATTTTTACAAAGGCAATTCTATTTTTTGCCTATAACCATACCTGGGGTGAACAAATTATATACCGATATTTCAGATCTGAAGTATTATCAAAACCTGGCATTTAGAAAAAATGATCTATAACTATAATGAAACTTGAAGTTGTGATGATTTTTTATTTCAGCAGTATATGAAATAACATATTTTTTAGAAGTGCACAGAAATCGTATGTTGTATTTAATGTCTACTGGATCATCAAAACTTCATTTTTCAAACAGATACACACATTGTTTATGTTAGCATATGTAAAACTAATATACCAAATACTGTAGAGGTAGAACCGGAACAAACACTACTGAGAAATAGTTTGGAATTCCAGGAATCAATAACAATATAAAAAGTTTCTTCACTAGGATGATCATCTTGGATTTCCTGAGAGTGAAATACTCTAAATTAATTAATCATGTCACATACTGTGATCCAATTAATAATTTATTATGACAAAACACAGTATAAATTTCAGCAAAAGTCAAGGAGGCACATTTGCTGTATGCTTTTAATAACAACTTTACTATACTAGATATTTTTGGAACAAAAAAACTGTATTTATACCAAGAGTTATAAATATTATATATTTATATTACACATGTCACACATAATTAAACATATATTAAGCATAGGAATGGTGCATTCATGCATGGTAGTGGTGGTGCAGTGTTCATATTCAATTTTTCTTTGTGTACAAACAATGTTTTTTTCACATGTGTTGTATACATTGTATAGAACCTAGAACGGAATACAAGGCATTGCAACAACCACTCCCTTCAGTTTTCAAAAATACCTATTTGATAACTTGAAATAAGCCTGAAAATTAATTTTATCTTATACAAAAATATATTAGCAAAAACTGATAGCATGTCTGTGTATTGATTATATTAATTCATTTTTTGATCTATGAACCTTTAGTACTGCATTGATCTTCATTGTAGTAGCATTGATCTTCATGAACAGAATGATCCAAATGCAAACTAAACAAAGTTGGGAATCAAAAAAGATAGAGTGAGTTGGAGCAAAGACTATAGATCTTCTCTATAGTCTTTGGTTGGAGACAGTAAGCTAAAGGAGAAGGGGGAGGAGTCTTGAAAATATCGCCTCATGTACAATCAGTGAGAATTCACCATACAGGTGACTCAACTATATATGTCTCAAAATATTTAGGAGTGTGCTGATGGTATTCACATGCCAGGGCACATATGGTCCAGTTGAGATAAATGGAAACAAACAGGTCTCGACAGTAAACAAGTTGACTTCAGTACTCATAAAAAAAAACCTATACCATCCTTATGTCAGTTCAACATAATGCCAAAGGTTGCCTCTATAGTCTGGAGTTTGTTTAAAACAGCAACTCAATTAGAAACGGATGTTTTCTTAGTAATTTTTATTGGCCATGATTACATGAAAGAAATATTCTATGTACAGAGGAAATCAATTCAGCTCAACACAGTTCAATATGAGCTGAGCTCAGCTGCATTGCCTTGTCTTTCCAACTAAGCCTTGTAATATAACTAGCAAACTTGACCCGAATCAGCATGGGTTTGATCCTCAGCCTAGTCAGTATGTGCCCACTTTTTTGTATCACAGTCTGTTTAGAAAGCCCAGATTTAACTGGATGCATGCTAATTGTGTGTCAAAATGAATTTAGTGGTACCAAAACCAACACCAAACAAATATGGTGATTGAAATTACTGGTATGTAGAACATCTAGCACCAGAAACTGTAACATACTTTATTTTAGCTGGAATTAATTTTTGTTGAAAAGACTTTTTGGGTGTTTTGTATTGAATTTATTTTCACTGATTTTTGACAAGTTGAATGTAAAATATAGGAAAGAGGTACATTCGCTGGTTTTTATTTTCACTGAATCATTCCTCCAGCGAAAATAGCGAAAATCAATTCCAAGAGAAAATACAGTATTTTACAGTAGTCTAGAAAACCATGTGATAATACCACTGTAGTTGTCATTCAAGAAATTATAGAGCCTAAGCTGAATTTTTGTTTTGTTTTGCAATAATACATGTAATTAGGTGATTTCACAATGATTTTCCATAAAAAAAGACAACTGAATTTTATTCATTTTTAGGAATAGCATTTGACATGCAATTTTACAAAAGGATGCTATGTTTATGAAAATATTCATCCAACTTTTTCTCTGGTAATGTCACCATCAGGGATTTGATACTTCAGCACATTCATGAATGAGGATGTGATTTAAGAATCAGTACATGAACACAGTGGCAATAATCCTTCCATAAACATAGAATATTAACTATTTCTGAATCCAGATCAAGTTCACTAGTGAGAACACTGCTTTTGAGCCAGTGTTTTTTATGTCTAGACACTTTTAGTTTGGGTCACTCATTTAAAAATAGCGTCAATATCGAATTGCTGAATAGCATTGATTTTCACTTCACATTTGAACTAAAACAAACTTAAGTATTGAGCATCAAGTGTGGGCTAAAGCAAAATTTGCCAATATAAGTAGTGCAATATAAATGGTACAGAGAATTGAATTACACTACGTCACTAGTTCACAGAACATTGTATTACAATCATGTAGTTCACCAAATATCTATCACACTATACCCTGGTAGGTAGGTAGGCAGGTGATGCACTCCTTTATTGTAAATCATAGGGCGGTGCCCTGGCAAAAGTTAAAATAATCAGTCTTGTAAGTACATCCCCTCTAACTACATCTGACTAATTAGATAATTTACAAATCATGTTCAGGTCTTGTTGAATCAACAACAAGTCATAACTTGCATTACAGAATTTGTAAGGTGATCTCTAATTAAATGCCATCAGAGGTGAGTCACCTGAATGCAATTGTAGTCATTCGATCAGATGTTGTCACACTACG